TTCCAAAAAAAGATTACCATGTGGCTTTAAGTTTACTTGAAAAATGAGATTCTCGAGAGAAGAACAACCCTACAGTTAGTCACCTTTATATGCCTTACATGTGGCACGAAGTGGAAGCTTAATAAACCTTGAATAAATGAATAAGTGGAAGAGTATAATGTGGCCTACCTACTGCATTAGATGCCACCAGTGGGTTCAAGTGGAGAGCTCTGGGATCCATCAAAGTTCTGGTTCATGATATCACTGTAATTTTGGTTTGAGGCAAAAGAGAGACTCTTCAGTCTTCAGCCTTAGGCTTGACCTACCATTTGAACTACTGGCCTCAGAGATAAGAAGCCTGGATATCATGTCACATTATCCTGGGAAAGTAATTTAATCTCAGGCTTCTATTTCCATTTTAAGGATATGAGAGCAGCACATCTGTTCAAATACTCTTTGAAAGCTGCCAAAGCCTGTTTCCAACAAGAAAGACGTCATTGTAAATACCTGCTCTTACCCATGGATGGGAAACAGAAGGTTCTGGTGAATGAGTAGAAGAGTTTCATTGATCCAAGTTACACGTAGATAGCCAATTTTCAGAGAATGAGAATTTTTGACTGTAAACAAAAGCCCGTTTTGCCACTTGCTGATTCTGTAGCTTTGGAGCCTCAACCTCTCTAAGCATGTTTCTTCATTTGTAAGATGAAGATGCTAACAGCATCTCTCTTACAGAACAGGGGTCAGCAGATATTTCTGTAAAATGCCATATAACAGATATTTTCCACTTTGCAGACCCTGCACGTCTATTGCAACTACTAAACTCTGCCATTATGGTGTCAAAGCCGCCAGAGACAATACATACATGAATAAGCATGGATGTGATCCAGTAAAAACCTTATTTATGGATGCTGAAAGTTGAGTTTCTTATAATTTTCACATGACAAAAAGTATTATTCTCCTTTTGATTTTTTTCAACCATGGAAAAACCTTTATACAAAAACAGATGGCAGGTTGGAATTGGCCCTCGGGTCATAGTTTGCCAACTCCTGATACAGTGCGTCTCTGAAACTTAAATGAGGTCATAGTGAGGGCTCAGTAAAATTTAGCTTAGCACCCTTATTATTATCAATTATTTAACTGAAAAGCAACAAAATTCAAAATTATAGATAAAGTGTGATGACAACAAGGTAGCTATCGGAAGAAATATGCCAATGCGCTAACAGTTACAATGTTGGGATAGTAAAAACCAGCTTAAAATGTTTTTTTTTAAAAGAATAAAGCATAAAAATTACCTCATAATGAAAACATAATTTACATTAAAGAGACAAATCTAAAAACAATTAACAATAATTATATTGAATATAAATTCAATCTTCCTTTTACAATTCAAAGGCATTTCAGGTATCCATTATGCCCAGGGATCAATGTTAAGCGTTAGTTACTTCTATAGAAGACCACAGAGAAACCAAGAATGTAGATGAACTTATGCTGAGCTTATGCCACATCTAAGAAACTGTTTTCCAAGTAGGTCTACCTCCTATGCTTCTTTGCTCTCCTTATCAGAGTGTTTACTGTTATAAAGGCCAATAAGTCCACAGTCTAATGAGAGAGATAGACAAGAAAACACCCAAATACAGTACCACGTAGAAGGCGAAAGCAGCAGGAGCAGAAAGGAAGAGCATCCGACCCAGTCGGAAGTGGAAGCGGTTGTAGTTGGGTAGTTATGAAACCGTGGGTTACATCCATTTCACCTGCCTTCGCTAATCAAGGTTGTTTTAAGACTTTCATGTCCTCCAAGCGGTGCATAACCTAAACAATAAGATGTTTGCCCAAGTTATCGTTTAGGAACTTGGAGTCAACTGCATCTAATTCGAGGTCAGCTAGTTAAGGCTGGATAGGACCACTGACCCTTCAACTGGGCAGACGCTAGTGTCCAATCAGTGACCTTTTAACATCAGAGGGCCCAAAACTCCACCCTCAGAATGTGCAGAGGGCTGTAGGCTAGAAACATCTGCACGGAACAACAATTACTGCATCTTTTCCCAATCATCTTTCCTCACCCTCCCCACACTTCCCACGCCTCATACCACCCTGCTTCTTTATTCTTTGTCCCATAAACTCCCGATCCCCTTGGCTTTGAGGAGGTGAATTTGAGATTTGTTCTCCTATCTCCTCGCTTGGCTGCCTTGCGAATGAACACTCTTTGCTGCAAACCTCAGCATATTAGCGTTTTGGCTCGTTGTGTGTCAGGCAAAATGAACCTGTTTTGGAAACTGTGATAGACAGCTTCTTGGAGAGTTGGAGATGGAGCTAAATCCTGAAGGAGGAAAAGAAGGAAGCCAGAGTGTAAGATGAGCATTCCAGACAAGGGTACCCCATGGGAAAGCAACGTGAGGCAATGGCTGGAGGCAAGGCAGAGCACCGAGGGATTGTAAATATGGAAGGTGGGAATGGCCCAAGTGTAGGATGCAAGCAGGATAGTGGGGAAGACGGAACTAGAGAAGAAGGCAAGAGTTCGTGGACCCTTTTGGCCATACTCATAATTTAGGACTGTATCCTAATCCTTAAATTGTTCCTTGACCCATAAGTCTCAGCTATTTCATAGCAAAATGGTAAGAATGATGTCTACCTAGTAGGATTAATGCTGGGGAGATTAAATGACATAACGTATTAGGTCCTCAATATACTTCAGCATATGCTTTATACTGTTGAAATTAATCTGTTCAAAAAATTGTTTTGAGATAACTTTCAAGTGAAAGCTATATGTTTTTCCAAAAAAACACTGCAAATTCAAAACAATGCTGCATTTGATAGCCACTAAGTTTTCAGAATTTTTCTACTAGTTGAAGACCCATTTCAGGAAGGAGAATCACCCATACATTCTGGTCCCTGGCAAGGATGAAGACAATGGAAGATAAGTGGGAGTTAGGGTTAGGAGGCAGCCTCCTAAATGGCCTCTGCATTGCAAGCGTGCTTGGAATCTGTTCATTTGCTATTTAATAAAAAAGGCTCCAATAGTGGATCCATTCTGAATATTTTGTTTGAGAGTCCCTGTTTCTAATTTTGAAATACATCAAGATAATTATCACTTAAATGTATTTGTTAGTAAAAAAAAAATCTTTCCTCATGTGTTGCTAAAACTATTTTCGTGTTCTTGTTACCTTTTAATTGTTTTTATACTTCATCAATAAAATAAGAGTGATCTTTAATTCTTCAGGTTGGGCTATGTTCTGATTCTATATACTTGACTTTCTAATTTGCTTTGAAAGGGAAGAAGTAAATGAAACTTATGCAAGTAGGGATGATAGTTTAGTTTCTGGATAAGAACAGTGCTTTTTAAATCATGGGACCAGGACTTATGTCAGATTATTATTATAATATTTGCTTCTAAAAAGTTGAATTTAAGCTAACAATTATTTTAAAATAGTTTAAAAATAACTCTTACACTTAAATCTTGGAAATAGCAGTCAAAATGACTTAGGATCAGAAGCAAAAGCTATAGAGGTTAATTATTCTCCCAGCTTTACTTCTGATGTACACTGAGATTGCTACTCCTTTATATTTCCTATCTGTGAAAGAGAGCATTTGTACAGGACTTGTAATCCACAATCATCTAGGGTTGAAAAGTAGAATTTTGAGTAAGTGTATTAATACATTCTGAGAGCAGAACAATTTGGTTTCAGAATTCGAATGTAAATCTCTTCCAGTTCTTCTGGTCTCTGTTCCAACAGACACACCAGCTCCTGCTTCCCAATCATGGGGATTAATATGCTACATCTTTCTTTCTTTCTTTTAAATTTATTTATTTATTTTATTTACTTATTTTTGGCTGCATTGAGTCTTCGTTGCTGCGCGTGGGCTTTCTCTAGTTGTGGCGAGCGGGGGCTACTCTTCCTTGCGGTGCATGGGCTTCTCATTGCGGTGGCTTTTCTTGTTGCAGAGCATGGGCTCTAGGCACGCGGGCTTCAGTAGTTGTGGCTCGCGGGCTCTAGAGAGCAGGCTCAGTAGTTGCAGCGCACGGCCTTCGTTGCTCCGCGGCATGTGGGAACTTCCTGGACCAGGGCTTGAACCCATGTCCCCAGCATTGGCAGGTGGATTCTTAACCACTGTGCCACCAGGGAAGCCCTGTTATATCTTTCAATTGTGTAGAAACTTTTAAGAAGGAAAGTTTATAATATAAATTAATTGACCTCTGCGTTGGATAATTTGTTTGGTTTTCCTCCCGATGGCAGTCAAAAAAAATGTCATGAAAGTATTAAAAATTAATTCATCTTTTTTAGGAGAGTAAATGCAATATGTAGCAAGAGCCAAAAAATATACTTATTATCCTTTGACCCACTAATTATACTTTGGGGAAGAAAACAATCAGAGACTTCTTATATAGTAAAAAATTTAAAAAGTGGAAACAAACTTAAAATCCTCAATGATTGGGGAACTGTTGGCTAACCCAGAATTATAAGCTGACAAAATATTGTATTATGCAACCATTTAAAAGGATATGCACAAAGACTATGAAAATACATTACAAAATTTGTTTAAAATAATGCTAAATGTATTGTATATGTATATATTGATTACAAAAATGCAAAAATGATGTATTCATATAATATTGAGGAGAAGAATTCAGGAGTCAGTTAAGAAGTAGCTGGTCTACATTGCATATGACATTCTTTTCAGTAGATGATTTTTTGGGGTAGTCTCTGAAATAGTAACAAAAATGCTGCTGTGATCAACTTATCACTTAAATTTCCTTGTTCTTTTTCTCTTTCCTCTTTTTCTTGGTGCACAACACAGTGATTTATTATTTCTGTACATTTCCAAATGATCACCATGATAAATCTAGTTACCATTTTTTCTCGTTCTTTTAAAAAATATGGCCCCCAAAGATGACCTAAACCTTGTACTTGCCCATTTTTCTCCCTTTTTATGTCCCAAAGGAAATGCATTTTTTTCCTCCTGATAAATATTATGAACCTGTTTATTCAATAATTGAGTGTGTTAATGGACATCCAGTCACTCACTCTTTGGTGCGCCCACGAGGCTCTTTCCGCCAGAACTCATGGCTACTTAAAGAAGACACACTGCCCCTCTTCTTCAGTAAATGAGCCGTTCTGTCTTTAGCAATGTCTGACATCATCATAACCTATGGAAGGAAACTTTTGTAAAATACTGAACAAAAGATCTGAAAATATTTTAGTATAACATAGAGACGCATTCTAAATAAAGTACACAGATCCTTTTTTTTTTAAGCATTTTTGAATAGGGAAGTGGGGTTTCCTTAAGAGTGATTTTTAGTATATGTTGTTATTCTGGTCGGTATAACTGGAAATATGATAACTCTTTTAAAAATATTTCAGAATTTATTTATAAGAAGTAGAGACTTCCTTTTTTGTTTTATTTTTACTTTTTTGGCTGCACTGCGTGGTACGCGGGATCTTAGTTCCCTGACCAGGGATGGAACCCGCTCCCCCTGCAGTGGAAACATGGAGTCTTAACCACTGGACCACCAGGAAAGTCCCATCTGATAACTGTTATTTATGCAATAGCATACTTAATTCACACAAGCATATATTAAGCTGCAACAAAAATACTTAACTGCAGAAGAGGTTAAAGTCACTGAGAAATGATAGCCATATGTAGAAGAACGATATTATCCTACACCAGAAAACAATATTTTTATTGCCTCCCCAAATTTAATTTCAATGATATTTTGCTAATTAACATTTGTTGTTGTTGCTATTACTTTAAAAATTAAGATAAGCTGCTTCCCCAAAGGGTATTTTTTTTTTTCAAGCAACAGTGATTTACTTTGTAAAGAGCAAACAGAACTTTTGTTTTTGGTTTTTTTTTTTTTTGCAGTACGCGGGCCTCTCACTGTTGTGGCCTCTCCCGATGCGGAGCAACAGGCTCCGGACGCGCAGGCTCAGCGGCCATGGCTCACGGGCACAGCCGCTCCGCGGCATGTGGGATCTTCCCGGATCCGGGCATGAACCCGTGTGCCCTGCATCGGCAGGCGGACTCTCAACCACTGCGCCACCAGGGAAGCCCAGAACTTTTAATGAAGTAATTTATTGGAAAACCTACCTCCTCTCACAAATGCTTGTGAAAAAGCTGGTAGTAGGAATGGACTTCCCAGAACTTGGACTGTAACTCTACTGCCCTATTGCCTACATACAAGTTTAGACATTCATTGGAATTATTTTATAATCTGTAAATCTGAGAGCCCTAACAGGGAGACACTGTGCTAGGCACTACAATAGAACTAAAACAGTCCCTGCCTTCAAAGAGCTGGCAGTTGAAGTGGGTAGGGCAGACAAGAACACAATCTAAAACCCCAGTGTGATCAGTGTCAAGGCAGACAGAGGCAAAGGGTACTGAAGGGCACACAAATACAGCAGAGGTACTGTGTGTTAGGAAGCGAGGCAGTGTGGGGGGTGTGTGATTGTGGACCTGTGTGTGAGTGTATGTACATGGGTGTGAGCATCTCTATGTGAGCATATATATGTCTCTGTGGGCATGTGCGTATGAGCATAAGTGTGTCCCCATGAGTGTGTGAGGCTGTGTGTATGAGTGAGTGTGTACATAAATGTGTGTGCCTGTGTGAGTGCCCATGTGAGCATCTCTTTGTGTATGTACCTGTGTGTATGAGTGATTATCTGTGTACCTGAGTGTGTGCCTTTGTATGTTGGTGTGTGCACCTTTGTATGTGATGTGTCTGTGCACCGAATGCATGTGTGCTTGTGTGTTTGAGTGTGTCTGTGTACATGAGTGTGCCTGTGTGAGCGTGTATATGTGTGAACAAGACATACAGAGCCTGTTTAAGTGGGTCATTCAGGTTCCAACCTTAAAGTGACACTGACAGACCTCGGTCTGCTCACCTGTTTCCAAAGCTGCCCCGCAGGCCAGAATTGGGACCTGGAGGTCCAGAGGGGCTGAGGCCGCCGGTGTCGCCAGACCTCAGGCAGACTGCTCAGAACTCATGCTGCTCCACGATCGGACCGGCTGGCCAGCTCTGCACTGGGCAACACTGTAAAGCCGAGACACACAGGCGGGCAGGAAACAAAAGGCCAGGACCTGCTTCCAGTTCCAAAAACTGGGGCCACTTTTTTCTTATTTCTTGGAGGGACGAGGAATAAGGCATTAGAGAGAGAGGTTGTGGACAAGGCAGGCAGGCCATTTCTAACACAGGGCCCTCCCCGCTTAGCCCCCTCGATCCTCGAACTTGCCTTTTGACTCTGTCAATCTTCTCTGCTCCTGCCCAGACGCGCTGCGGAGAGGGCGCACTTACCTAAGGCAGTGCTGGAGACGCAGACGCGACTCGGCGGGGGGCCTCCCGGACCACGGGCTCTTCCGCTGCCGGGACCAGCGCGGGGCGAGGCTCCCGTCTCCCAGGCTTCCCTCTGCCCGCGAATGCCCGCGCACTCCCCCTGGACTCCGCGGCCCGTCTCCAAGGTGACCTTCTCAAACAGAGTCCTTGGCCCGCCCCAGGCAGACATAGTAGTTGGGTAGTCCTCTGAGCCGCCTAAGGATGTAGAGGATCTCCTCGTCACTGCCCAGAGGGGGCTGCCCTGAGCCTGGCTGTGCCTTGGGGTGGTCGTGAGCTGGAGAGAAGCCGAGTCATTCTGTAGCGAGGGGGACATCTGGGAACTCAAGGGGCAGCCCTGAGAGCCCTCATCAGTTTCCTTTTGCAGATGTCAGGGGCAGGAGTGGGAAATGATGGCGGTTCCTAGGACGGGAAGTGCGAGGTACAGAGAGAAAGGAAAGCACCCCCTTCCCTTCCCCCGACCCCTGATGCTGCCTTCCACCACCCCAAGGCACAGATGGTTGATAATAGAGCTCACATTTACCAGGTACTGGCAAACAGTTTTAGTTTTATCTAGTCCTCCCAATAACTCTCTCAAGAAAGCACTGTTGGGACTTCCCTGGTGGCACAGTGGTTAAGAATCCGCCTGCTAATGCGGGGGACACGGGTTCGAGCCCTGGTCTGGGAAGATCCTACATGCCGAGGAGCAGCTAAGCCCGTGCGCCTAACTACTGAGCCCGCGCTCTAGAGCCCGTGGGCCACAACTACTGAGCCCATGTGCCACAACTACTGAAGCCCGAGCACCTAGAGCCCAGGTTTCGCTACAAGATAAGGCACCACAACGAAGAGTAGCCCCCGCTCGCTGCAACTAGAGAAAGCCCGCACGCAGCAAGGAAGACCCAACACAGCCAAAAATAAATAAATAAATAAAGCAATTAAAAAAAAAAAAAGCAGAAAGCGTTGTCAGTCCTTTACAGATTTAGAGAATTGAGATTCTGAGATATTGAATAATATGCCCAGGGCCGCTTGGAACTCATCGGCTTATGTTTTGGGCATTACAAACTTTCACGTTACACTTTCCTTGACACCACTCTCCCCAATCCTTAAAGGTTACGAAGATTTGAAATGGAGGCTGTTTGGGGTTGAGAACCCACCTGACATAAATAATAGGCCCTTCCTCCTTAATAACTATCCCTCTTCTAACCCCAGAGCCCTTCCCCCAACCCAAAGCAAACAAAACCAGACCCTGAAGGGACCTTCACATAGTGGGCAATCATTGGAAATAGAAAAAGATGGCGCCCTAAGCACCTAGCTTGGTGCATGTCCATTAATGAGCGCTCAGTGCAGCTAGAATTGGCTGTCAATAGCAATACATCTGCATAACGGTAGAGCGCATAAGGATTAGGATAGCATTGGAGAAAGAGCATTAACATTTTCTGGCCTGTCTCAATCCCTATTCACATAAAACTAAGAACAGGAAAGGATTGTTGACTATTTACTATATAATAGTTAGGAACTGTTAGGTGACTGATAAATATTATCTCATTTAATCTGTTCAGTGACCCTAGGATAAGGGAATAGTAATTCTATTTTTTTTTAAGATAAGGAAATGAAGAATCATTGAGTAACATGCTCAAGACTATAGTTAAATTATAGAATGAGATTTGTCCAACTCTATAGCCCTTGCACTGTGCCAGACCTTCTGCCCACCATGCCCACCCTAAATATGCAACGAAGTTTTCCAGAAATGTGGTAAAACTTTAAGAGGCTGGTAATAAAAGAGGTTCACAACTCAACTTATTTTTGTTTTTCATTTATTTTCCAGAAAAAAATCACATTTAAATAGTAACTTACTTATATATTTGATCTTTTCTCAAGTATAATTAAACTTTGTCCTGCAATGGGAACCGTAGTGGCAGTAATGTGCCATGATAAATAATTGCATATTCAGGATTTTGTAAAATGGGTGATTGGGAAAATTATGAAGGAAAAAACACTTGTAAAAATCATTATTTACAAAAAATGATATCCACACCTTTTCTAATTTATAAGGCAAGTAACATTAAAATGTTCTCATGGTTATCTTCAAGAAGTCAGTATTACACATTCATATCACCATTGTTCATCAGAGAGCTTTGGGCAGTTCTGTGAAGGAACAAACCCTTGCTTTTTTTTGCTGTTTTTTTCTTGAGCACGGCACATAAGCAGTAAAGATTTCATCACAGCTACGAGAATTAAGTATTCTCTATTGAATTACACATGTAGGAAAAAGAGCCAGCCATCAATATTTTAACTAATTTTAAAAGTATATTTGAGTATTTTACCCCAGAGTTTTTTTTTTTAATAAATATTTTATGCTCAAGGTATTTTGTGAAAATATGTACTCCATCCAAGGTCATAAAGACATTGTTTACTTTTGCTACAAAGATCATGGAGAACTCTAAATAAAAGCTACCACCAACTCAAAATATACACTAACAGCATTTTCTTTAAGAAAGACAGATGACTGAATTTTATTACCTTTAGAAATACAACAAAATTTCTGAGATATTTTTCCTAGTTTCTCTTATTGTTAAAAGTACAAAAAAAAGATCAATGCCTTCCATTGCCATTTAGTAGGCACCAAATTAACATTTGATCATTACATTCATACAGATCTCTATGCAAAGTGAAAAAAAAATTCTTTGTATATTGAAACCCAATACTCTTCAAACAGTTTAAAAAGCCAGCTCTACAAATGACTGCTTGGCCTGTAGTGAAGTCCTAATGAATTAAAAATTGAACTATATTTAGAGAAATGTAAAGTGATTCAGCTTTACTCTTTTCTGTCTGATAACAGACAGTTTACCCAGGAATTTTAAAGGAACTTTGTTGATTTTTTGTGAAAACGATTTGCAAAATAAAGCAAAGCAAAAAAGAACTGCTTAATGCTCATTAATAGAGTGTAGAGTCCTGCAAAATCTATACTAAATAGTGTATTTTTCCTAGGTTTAACTGAAATGTTTTTCATATAATTTCTAACAAGATTATGTAAAAATGCAGTCAGCATCAATTCATCATGATTCAATTTCTTAAAGTGTTTAGATAAAGTATTACCAAATATTGTTCACTAGTATTAATTCTACTCTGTAAAGAAATTTGGACCATCTTCAACAGATAGCAGCATGATGTGATGGTCATAAGTGCAGATCCTAAAAATAATGCTTAAAAATTTAAAATAGTAAAACAATTTTATTGTTTTGTTTTGAATACTTTAGGTGATAAAGTTAAATTCACTAAGATATACTTATGAAATTTAAAGTAGATACTAAATCATTTAAAGTGGCAGAAATTTTCCTTAGAGTTAAAACAAAAACCCAGAAGCATCTTTCCAAAGCATTCCTGGTTATATTATTTGAAATTGCTGAAAGATATGTAAACCAGTGTTAAAAAGAAAACTTTTCTAAAGTTTCTTCAAGATGTGTTTAGAAAGAAAAGTGTTTTTCTGATCCAAAACTTTCTTAAGCTTCATTAAAACACTAACATTTATTATCAATGTCTAAGGAGTGGGTTGGGACTATGGTCTAGGATCATTTATTCTCAGACCACAGTGAACATTTGCCAGAAGCAGTAGTCCTGAACATGATTTGGAAAACACTGGAATACAGTGAATGAAGTAGAATTACCCTTTACTTATTTTCTTTTGCCAATTAAGGGACACATAAAAATATATTTGATTTTCATTGAAACATCTTTTCCTATAAGGTTAAAGATGTATTTAAAACAGGCAATGTACTGCACTAGAGATAGAAGGAGACAATTAGAAATACTATAAGTCAAAGGAAAAATAACATTAGAAGTTAAGCCTAGAGAATAAGTTATTATACCCATGGTGGATGTTAACAAGGAGGTGACTTTCTCTCCTAGGAATACTCATTTTGGATAGACATCAGATATTAAACATGAGGGACAGTGAAGAGGTCTGACCATGGTCAACTCAATAGACCCTAAAATTTGATCTTTCAAGAAGGATATTTGGTATTCAGTTAGATATTTAAAATGCAGCTCTAGCCTATAGAAGATTACAGAACATCAAAGAAATAGAAATGCTAGTGGGTTTTGTTGTTTGGTTTTAATACTTGGAGACTTAAACATTGCACTCCTATCTCATTTTTCCTCCATACATTCCACAGACAAAAAGTAATGTAATGGTAGCCATGTTTGATTCACAAATGAGCAAATGGCTTTTAACTACTGTTTGCTGAATGAAAAAAAAAAAATGGAAGGAGCAGGAAAATACAATAAAGCCTGAAGAGAGAAGTGCACATAGTAAAAGAGATGGGGTGGGTCATCAGAACAGTCTCTTTAATCAGTGTAACAATGATTGACTTGTTCATTCATATCAACAATTTAATTTGACTCATTTTAAGGAAACATCATGTTGACAACTTTTAAAGTGATATTTAGAGATCACCCTAATTTTGATAACATAAAAAAATTATGCTTCCATTTAAAAAAAATTGCTGACCAGAAAACCATGTAGCAAAATGAATACATTTACATTGAATGGGATTTTGCTCAAATGCATAATCTTTTGGAAAAAAGAAAGTTAAAAAATAAACAAACAAACAAGAAACCACAAACGCATCTCCTTAGTAGATATAGGCACATTTTACCGTGTCATTCAACTTTAACTGACAGACTGTGATTATTTTGAGAAAAAAAAGTGCAAAAATGAAAGCAATTGGTGCAACTGTTTTGGAATGACAGTAGTCCGTGCTTATAAAGCATCCAATTCAAAGGCCTACAAAATAAACAGTGTCAGCTCACAAGTTAGTTGCCTGTGTCCCTTGCAGGAAGGGAGCCATGTTTTAGGACATTTTATTTGGAATGAATGACAGCTTGCAACCTACCTACTTCTTTTAATCTTTTAAGACACTGACAAAAAGGACAGAAAAATGACAATGAGAGAATGCATTTCAGGTCAGTTTGAGATAGCATAAAAGAACTCTAAGGAAACAAGGAATTTTCCTAGAAAAATCCCTCTACCTTTTTTTTTCTTCAAGATTGTAGGAAGCTAAGTGGACTGAATGAAAAAATAAGCTCACTAGAAAAATGGTATTCAAATGATAATTGAATGTGTAAAATCTGATGAAATGTCAGAACTAAGAAGTATTTGAGAGATCTACTAGGGCAGTGATTCTCAAATTTTGGGTGCTGTCAAAATACATATTCTTAAACCCCACCCCTACAGATTTATTTATTCAATATCAATTTATTGATGCCCACTACATTCTAGGCTCTGGGGATATAGTGGTAACTAAGCCAAAATCATTTCCCATGTTAAATAAATGATAATACAAGTGGTCTACAAATCATGCTTTGAGAAACATATTCTTTTCCAAGAATTTTGCTTTTGGAATTATCCTTATTTTGGTATTAATTTTTCATAGCGCCTTTTACCTGGGTATTTAGTGGAATATGTATAGTAAAATAAAACAGAAGAGTTCATTTCCCAGAATGAACAAGTAAAACAGGTCAAGGGCTCCCACTGCTGTCAAGATAACTGGGTTACTTCCAGCTGCTGTGTCACTTTGGGCAAATTATAAATTTGTTTAAGCCTCAATGTCACCATTTGTAACATACTAATTAAAAAGAGTATCTACCATTTGGGGGTTGATATAAAGATTAAGTGAGCTAACATCTATAGTGACTGGTACATGGTAAGCACTCAAGAGAATATCAATTTTTATTGTATATCAATTACTATGATTGTACAAGTTTTTTTTAAAGCCCGCAAAGGTGGATCTCTCTGAGTCAACTAGAACCATGGCACTTCTGAGGTGGGAGAAGATTTATAGATCATGGCTGTGTTATTATGGTATTTAAACAGTGCTCTGGAAGACCAGATTTAAATTGCTGGAGGAACTCCTTCATTGCTCTGAGCTGTTTTGCCTAACAGGATTCCATGTGCAATTTTAGCAGAAAAAAGTTTGGCTGTTAAGAAAAGCTTGGAAACCACTGTCAATCTCAACTCCTCATTCTAAAGGTGAGAAATTAAAGAGGGCTATGATTTGTCCAAGGTCACACAACAAGAGTTAGTGGTAGAGCTAATGTAGTTACCAGGCTTCTTTGAAATGAATATTTGGAAATGGAAATATGAGTAATTATGGCCTCAAACACTTTGCAGATTGAGATTCAGTAAAAATACATAAAAACAAAAATAAAACAACCGTAGTTTAACTTTCTGAAGGGGATGTTTCCTCTCTATTCACTTGAAACCATTTGAAATGTGGACATTCTTTCTTTACAGGTGAAATGTACTTCCAAATACTATGCAGTGAATTTTCATTTTGGCTGTACGTGTAGAGAAGAATAAAGCTTTAAAAATAATTTAAAATTTAATTGTTTGGAATTGTATGTTCCAATTATGCTAAAATTCAGACTAATTCTTAAGAAAAATTATTTTTAAAAATAACATAAAAATATGGAATTTATTTGAAAAAAAATATTTCCCATGTTGCAAAATAAAGCATTCATACTTTCTATCTTGTTAGAGCAGAATCTTTTTTAATCATAATGCTCAGGAAATGGTGTTCTGGTTAATGAGAAGCCTTTCTTTTTATTTGAACCCTTGGTATTGAAAATCTAAATATGTACTAGCTCATTTTGTTTTAGGAATTGATAATGAATCTGACTTAGTGTTTCTTTTATAATTACATTGTCTAGGATCATTTTTCCTAACACAAATTATTATTGTACAGTACTTTGGATACAGGAGTAACAGGAGATTATAAACTACAAGATTAAAAAAAAAAACACCAAAATCAAATCCCTGCTATGAGTTAATTGTGTTATTATATGACCTATTTTCTGAAAGAAGAAGGGATATATTCTCTATGAAGGTTCTGGTATTCAATAATAATAATAAAAATATTTCAAAATTAATAATTTTGAAATCTCTGACTTTCATTCTGTTTCATAAAGACCGATTATGGAATCATAGGATATCTTCATAGTTTCAAATTTAGTGCCTAGAGACATTTGAATAATGTAGAGATCATTGTAATCTGTTTTAAATTACATTATATATCAACCAAATTATTCTATGAAAAGAAAACCCTTGTGTTTAATTACTAATTCACTCTAGAAAGATATAAAATAAAATAAGATATAATGAGCAAGACATGAGAACCAATAATATTTATACACTTTTAATATGCCTTTGTGTTAATATTCAATATGTTTTCTCATGAACTGATTTCTTAAAAACACATTTTTATATTCATATGCTGGATAATTCTCAATTTTCTGTTACTTACTCTCCATCGGTTTCAGTGTCTGAAATTTCCCCATGTTTCATGGGATTTAAAAGTTTGCATTTACTATTGTGGTTACAAAATCAAATTGAATATCTTTGCTTAAAGTGAGTTTATTACTTACTTGTTCAAAAAACTTCAACATCAGAGGCTGCTTGGCGAGCCAATTGAGAGTTGTTTGGACAGTAAGATTTCTTCTAAGGTAAAACAGGCCATTTTGAACATTCTCTTGGTAGCAAGCACTGATTGAGAAGTACAAATATTAATTTAAAAGGTTTCACTATAAACAATTGCCTGTCACAATCTCATTTTAAATGTAAGACTTCCAAAATTTAATTTGATTCTAAAATTTAAAGAGGCTAAAGCTTCTTTGTCAAGCATGAATGAATGTAAAATAAAATTTATCAACTAATGATGAATATAACAACTTAATAATTATAGTTATTTAATAGTATAACCTAGAGTAGGAATTAGTTTATGTTTAAAATAGGTTCTATGACTTAAAGGAAAATTCATGTTTTCAGATTGTAATGAAGGAAGGTTTTACAACTGGGACCCCTGAAGAAGAGCTTCTTCATCCCGAATTCCCATATTATGAGGCCAGACTGAGTAATTACAGTTTTTATTATACCTTGCAACAATGAAATCATAACATACATTTTTGATAACTCTCTTTTTGATTCCCCAAGAATGGCAAAGATTTATAGTTACATACAATGACTCTTATCCAAAAGGAAATTTATTGCACAATAATGTGGTTAGAATTTGATTTATAAAGCTTATTTTTTCCTTCCCAAATTATATAAATGATGACAATTAAAATTCTCCTTCTGGATTTAAGTAGGGGACTAAAACCTTTTTTTTCTGGGATATTTAGACTCAATGTTTTGGTTCCTATTGGTAAAGAGGAAGATGCTTGGTACCATTCCCCATGCTGGATGGGAGGCACTCTCTGTATAGAGTTATTGTGCAAAAGTTGTTAACCAGTTCAACTATGGAAATTCTTGAAATTTTAAAATCACAATTTTTGTTTTAGTCTGATTATTCAGTAATCTCCACATCTGCTAAACTGTGGAGAGAGGGGGAAGTAGTTAAGACTTCGACATCTTCTTTACTCTTGATTATAATTTCATAAACTTTAAATATGAATTGCTTTCCCTTTTTACACAAGTTATAAAAATAAGAGGGCCTGTTTACACAGTTTGCATTTTTATGAAATTTGCAGTTTGAAAAAAAAGCTTTTTAAAAAGTGGTAATTAATGCTTTTCTTTGAATATGCACATGTACCTTAGAATTTTTTTTTCTGAAATAGTTTCTGACTTTAACCCACTAAATATTTGAAGATAGAATTTTTATTTAGCACTAGAGTAAAACATACTAAGGACCGAAGAAAAGGAAGTTTTTTTCTGGTTCCACTGAATTTTCTTTGTGTGTGGCACCCCCTTATGACAGCTATCAATATTATATTTAAATTTTATATATTGACAAAATGCAATCTACCTCTGTAAGCATTGTGCCATTCAACAGTACTACTATTAAATTTACATACCACAGTTTAAATTACATCCATTTCAGGAATGGTAAAATGCTAAAACTCAAGTATAACTGCCTTACTGGAATGAGTACAATTTACAAATACAATAATTACATTTTAAAACCATTAACAATATTACACCTAGAAGTAAATACTGTAGGACTGGTCATCATGGTATTGTGTGAGGGAAATCATTGCTGAAAGTCATTGACATTTCCAGCAGATATACCCCAAGTGCAGATTTTGGTTTGTTTTCATCAAACCAAAATTAAAACCTGTTTCTCATACAGTAGTTCACCATTATACGAATCCTCCAAATCCTTGCATAAGATTTTATTAGTTATCTGCCAAGTATTTTCCTGCAAAATAAAACAACATATCAACAGTTACCTGCTAGTTCCATAATGTGGTTATTAAGTGGGTAACATTTCTATTCTTCCTGCCCTACTCCTAGAAGCCAATACTATGTAATTGAAGGGTACAATACTAACATAAAATACATAAAGTTTATTAAGTTTTCAACTTTCCAGACCAGCTAGTTGCCTTTTCACATTTCCATATAGGAATACTTTGCAGAGGTTTGGGTTGCCCAGAATAGCTTGGAAGATTTGTTCCTGGATGGGAGAATCCAACTTCTTATAGAAAGAGTAACCGTATAATTTCCACCCTGGGCCATTTTTGAGAACAAAATGGGTGTAGTTAATAATTACATCAATAAGGCAGACATAAAAACCAGGATGTATTCCAACAAATCATTGACCAAGATAATCACCTTAATATTGGGGAATCCCCACCAATAAACTCTCGTGTGTGCCAAAAACCTGTCTCATTATCACATTTCAGCTCTAGGCAACCACTTCTGATCTCTGGTCTAGACTTTTTAAGGTGCTATTAAAGTGAAGATGGATCCTCTTAGATCTCAGCTAAGCCTAGACAAGTCTAAAATCTATGAAGACCTGCTGAAGAAGAAAAGTTTTCAGATAAGAGATAAATTCAAAATTAGCATTCATCTTGCTTGTCAATGTAACAAAAGTAGGATTTACCCCCATTAACCTCAGTGTACACACCTATATAATGGGAATGACAGGTCAGTCCCATATAAGAAATAGCCAGAGCCATGATAAGTATCCAGGACCTTCCTGATTTCTGATTCCCAGTTTCATTGTCCTATTTTTACTTCATTCAACAATTGGTTTGCTTTCTGATTGTGATGGGAAATGGGGATTGGGAGTGGGGAAGAAGAGGAGGAAGGTGATCAGAAAATCACAACCTATTCCTTCTTAGGGAAGAGTAGCTAAGGCAACATTATTGTTTGCAGATGAAACTCACAAGATACCCACTTACCTGCAGCAAACCTTTTCTTGATGAGTGAAAATCTATACCCTGCTCCAACAAGTTCAATGTCACAGCCAGAAAGGGTGCTTCCTTCACTTGTAAACTGCACAACCAATGGGGAAGGTTTGCTTGGGCCTTCAGATAACTGAAATCTTGCCAATAAAGAGCCCACTCCTACAAAAAGAGTATTATTACAAGATAGTCAACACAACATTCTGGATATAACTTTGGAAATTGTATTCAAAGTTAATGTGCAAAATCGAACTTACTAGAAAATAGTATATGTTTCAGTATAAATAGAATAAAATTTATCATTAAATATTATTCATGACGTTTTTTGCACGCTGATAAAACTGTAATTCAGCCAAATGGTACTTCAAAATTTGGAAGCATGCTGCTTGGAAGGCAATGTATTTTCCAGTTTATGATTAATATCAGAGGAAAGTGAAAAATATCTAACTATCAGGGAGTGTGAGATCTGATACAGAATGGAAATATGCCTGATTAAAAGCTCTTCTCTGCTTAAAGTATGGTCTGTTTGATGTGGGGTCTTGGGCAGAAAAGAGGTAGCAGAGGATTCATTGAAGAACTATTTTCTTTTATTGGTTAAAATAAGTATATACCAAAGTGAACTGAAATATTTTGCTTACTTTTAGTGCTAAATGTATTTTGGTTAATAAGTTTCTAATATCTGAAAGTTATTTCAGCTTTATATATTAAATAAAATAAGCCTGTGATTACATTACCTCCATTTTCTGACTTCTGAGAAATATCAGGAATCTTCCACAATATTCTGTGCTGTTCAGCATTCCTAAAAATAAAGTAGATAAAAGACTTTTTCATATGCAAGGGTTTCTGTTTAATGGATGTCGTATTTTTCCAGATAGTATTAATTAATAAAAATGATCTTAAAAATTTTAGCTACAATTAAAGCATTATCTATCTATCGTCTATCTATCCATCCCTTCCCCTTTCCCTCCCTCCTTCCATCTATCTATCTATCTATCTATCTATCTATCTATCTATCTATCTACCTACCTACCTATCTATCCCTTCCTCCTTCCCTCCCTCCTTCCATCTATCTCTCTATCTATCTATCTATCTATCCCTTCCTCCTTCCCTCCCTCCTTCCATCTATCTCTCTATCTATCTATCTATGTATCCCTTCCCCCTTCCCTCCCTCCTTCCATCTATCTCTCTATCTATCTATCTATGTATCCCTTCCCCCTTCCATCCCTCCTTCCATCTATCTATCTATCTATCTATCCATCTATCTATCTATCCCTTCCTCCTTCACTCCCTCCTTCCATCCGTCTACCCATCCATCCATGCATCCATTCATCCATACATAAATACTCTCCTTTCTCTTTCCTTATTGTAACTAGTCACAACACTGTCAGAGAGATAAACATTTAGAGGACAATGCAGTTAAATTTTTTTTTAACACATCTACTGAATAAATAGATGGGAAGTGTTAGTTGATCAATTAATTCAGGTAATTTAAATTGGAGCTGTCACATGGCTGACATTCTATTTTTTTTTCTTTTTTAATGTTCTACTTTTTGCTTCTAACAATCATGTGGAAAAGCTGGAGTATTTTTCCTTAGGAGAAAAGGATTTTTTCACATCTGCTATTGGTACTCAGTGTCTATTCTGTTTCTGTTCCCATACCTTCTCTAGTGTGCCTTTTAATAGTCCAGAGGCTGCAAAATGAAACTCAGACTCCCTTGTAATTAGGGTCCTAGATGCAGATTAGGGTCCATCAATTATAGGTACTACTTGAAATCTGGAGGATAGAAGGGAGGCAGAGGCCATTTTCCTGATGCTTTTTGGGCTGTTTTCTGCTGGTCAGCAGCCTAACTGAGATGTGGGGATCTTGTTAAACAGTGCTCCAGTCCAGTCTCAGTTTTGTAGTTGTTGAGAAGCAGTTTAGGCAGTGCCAGTAGGAGCTTTCTTATCCTTGGACTCTCATGAGGGTGGTGGGTTCTTGAATTCAATGGCTCCACTGACAGCCTTCTAATTTTTCTCCTTCCTGGTTGTAGCAGAGGTAGCAGCTCCCCTGGTGGACCAGTTCTGCAATCTTCTGGGAAATATTCTTGGAGATCCAGTCTAAAGCTTGTTCCTCTTTTTTTGTGTGAACATCTAAATCCCTGTGTTAAATCATTTTCTGCTTGAAATTAGCTATAGCAGCTTCTGTTTAATGCCCTGAACCCTGACACCCAGGCCTGCTGTGATCTCTTCCTGTAGGAAACACAAATGCTAAAAAGTCTGTGATCCCTTTGCCCAGGAGACCTTTGGTGAAGAGGAAGGGGGCTAATGGCTCCTTACCAGACTGCTGGTGGGAGCACAGCCTGGAGCTTGGTTACCCCTCCATCTATGGGGACCAGGAACTGCACATTGTTGAGGGCCACGGCCGTTGTCATTGCATCCATATTGTATTTGTAATCTATGCGCAGGTCGGTGCTTGCCGGCTCACATCGCCAGTTCACTGCCAGGTTCAGAGGTGTGGACTGAATGCCCTGGGCTGACACCTTGCCAAAGACAGGAAGGAGAACATTTAAGGCTTGAATATTAATCTGAAACAAACACAGAAGCTATTATTATCTCCCAATGGAATATTCTTAGATATCAAAATGTCATAATGTTGTTTGTGCTGCTCACAAATGAGCACTCAGTAAAAAAATCACCATGAAGGGTGCCGTATGAGTGAGAGCTGGGTGCTTCAGGTGAACTGTTACAGATTAAAAATATAAAATCAATTATTAAAGTTTCTATAGCACTTTAGAGTTTACAATGCACTTTATGTCAGATAGGGAGCTGGTAGCACACTGGTTAGGAGCTGAGGCCAAGAAGGCAGACAATCCTGGGTGTGAGGTCGTTTTTCCTTTCTTTCTTTCCCTTTCTTTCTTTCTTTCTTTCTTTTAATTGAAATAGAGTTGCTATACAATATTATATAAGTTACAGGTGCACAATATAGTGACTCATAATTTTAAAGGTTATACTCCATTTACAGTTATTATAAAGTATTGGCTATATTTCCCATGTTGTACAATATATCCTTGTACCTTATTTTATACCTAATGGTTTGTACCTCTTAATCCCTTACTATTGCCCCTTCCCCTTTCCCTCTCCCCACTAGTTTGTTCTCTATATCTGTGAGTCTGCTTCTTTTTTGTTATATTCACTAGTTTGTTGAATTTTTTGATTCCACATATAAATGGTATCATACAGTATTTGTCCTTCTCTGTCTGACTTGTTTCACTTAGCATAATGCCCTCCAAGTCCATCCATGTTGCTGCAAATTTCATCCTTTTTTATGGCTGAGTAGTATTCTATTGTATACATATACCCCACATCTTCTTTAACCATTCATCTATTGATGGACACGTAGGTTGCTTCCATATCTTGGCAAATTGTAAATAATGCTCCTGTGAACATGTACCTTTTCAAATTAGTGTTTTTGTTTTTTTCAGATATATTTGGGTGTGAGTTCTGATTGTCACTTCCAAGCTGAGTGATCTTTGACCAGTCACTAAAAACTTCTCTGTGCCTCAGTTATTTCCTCATCTGCCAAATGGGAATGATAATATATATTTTTTAATTTTTAAAAATGTTTTTGGCTGTACCATGTGGCATATGGGATCTTAGTTCCCTTACCATACTCATGGCCCCTGCACTGGAAGGGTGGACTCTTAACCACGGGACTGCCAGGGAAGTCCCAGAAATAATAATAATATTTATGCCTAGAGATGTTAGGAAGATTGAAGAAGATGTTTTATATGAAACACTTGGCCTAGTGCCTCATATACAGTAAGGAGTTAACATTTTAATACATGTTACCTATTAATATTCTTATCATATTTGCTCTTCACAAACCAGTGAGTTAGACAAAGGTGAATTTGACTAAGGAAAAGCCAGGTTTGAAGAAGCAACAAAAAGTTACAAGACAATAATATCAACTAGAATCCTGGGCTCACAGTGAAAAATTTGCAAGGTTATTACTTCTATGTACCTTTTATAAGTACACGCGCACAGCAGGGGCCGTGTGGGTGGTGTCTGTGCCCTTGCAGTTTTACTCGTGGAGTATAAGTTTTGCTGATTTTAAAGAATATAAACAGCTCTTTATTGGCCTAGTAATGCCTGCACATATGGACACCACGTGGACCTGAAGGCAGGCTGTGCTTAAAAGTCAGGCATGGTTTTGCTGCAGAAACAAACCCAGACATGGATTCTTTTATAAAATGACAGACATGGCTTTTGATGACATAATTTTAGTTTGATGACCATTATAATAAAAGCTTTAAAACTTTATAATAAAGTTTTTAAACTTTAAATATTTTTAGCAGCCCAGTCCTCTGCAAATGCACTTTTATGTAGAAGTCTGTTACTTAAGATATAGCTCAAAAGCAGAGCAGACCCACTCTCTCCACCCATTTCTATACTCTGTCCTTGGCAGGAGTTCTCAACTTCTCAGTAGTTCCTCTACCTGGGGAGGTGCTTTATGGATATGTGATTGTCCCAGTTACTGGGAGGGTGCTACTGGTGGCCAGAAAGTAAACATGATGTGATTTGATCCCACAAAATGCTAATTATGCCTCCCAACCAATCCCTTGCATTGTTGAAAAACAATAACAACAACGCAACTAAACCACAACAAAAGGGATTCCTCAGAGCACCTTTAAAACAAAATGTCAGGCCTAGGGCTACTTACATTTCACAAAGTGCTTTGAAATGTGTTAGGGTGTGAGCTCCTCACAGCCTATAGAATACCTAGGTAGGAATCATTTTCTCCTAATTTACAGATGAGGAAACTGAGGCTCAGGGACATTAAGTGCCCAAGGTGAGTGGACAGTAGGAAGCTGACTTAATTCCAGAATTCAGTCTCTTGCCTTCATTATAGTACTTTATACCAAGCTCATATTGCAATAGGTGAATTCTGTTTACTTTCTACGTTTTGTTATAATGTCCAAAGCTTCAATGGTATTATTCTTACTAGAAAAACATTATATTCATTTGTATTTTTGTGAAATGTACAATTACATAGATGCTTCATGTTCAATGGTTCCCTTAGAACATGTGGTTTTCAATCCACAGGGTGCATTATAATCATTTGGAGGACTTGTAAAAATATATACACCTACGTCACATCCTGAACCAATTAAATAAAAATCTCTGGGAGTGTCAGGGCCTAGTAGATGTCTCTGTCTCTGTCTCTGTCTCTATCTTTATCCCTCTCCCCTCCCACCTCCCCATCTCCATCTTTATCTATAAATAGATTTTTATATAGACATCTATCTATATTTATATCTGTGTCTGTCTATAATTAGCACCAGTTCAGAATCAGCATTTGTTTATAACCGCCCTGGTGATTGTAAAGTACACTCATGTTTGAGATGCACTGATTTCTATTAAAGTACAACTTTCAAAAGAGATCAAGTGGCTAGGAATCAGTGGGATACTCAAGCTCTATAGAACCCTGGTTTGAAACAGGCTTATTTATTAAATCAGTAATATTCTGGGGTAAAGGGAAATCCTAAACACAAAAAGAAAGTACTCCTATCCTGTAATGTGTTGTACGAAATATTCTCATTAAATTATTTCTTAACGTAAGTTTCATCAGAATTTATTTCATAGACTATCACATTATGAAAAAACACCAAATTACTTACATTTAATCATTTAAAGTAAGAGATTTTAGTACGGTAATATCTTAACAAAATTACAGTGAAATATTTTGTCCATATTTGTAATCTTAATTGATGTGGTTTTCTGAAAATTCATTTTTTGGCATGTTTCCCTAAATTTGAATGAAATTTTTTACTTGCAGGTTTCAACTAATAAGAATATGTATGAATATTCTTGACACTATATAGCCTCCAAATAGTCTTTTAAGGTTTCTATTTTCTTATAAAGTCTAGCTTTTAAATAATATTGAAAGAAATTTTACTTTGTCTACTTTTATTTAATGTTAGGTATGTTAGAATATACATTTGTAATGTGAAAGAGACACCTTGACCATATAAATAGGCTTACCTGATATTTGAGCATATCCACGTTATAATATGTAGCCTGGGGCTTTTGTTCCGACACTTTCTTTAGATGAATCATCAAATTTGGCATGTTTACCCAGAATTCCTTGGTATTGGCATCATTTTGGGTATTATCACTATTCAATTGGGAAGAAAAAATGATTGAGTAGCATTTTGTAACCAACATAAACCACACAAAAAAGCATATTTTCAAATTGTCATCTGATTTCTATCTCCATCTTTGACAATTTGTAGAGATTATATTATTAACAATAGTATAGTTTTAGTATAATTGCAGTCCTGAATGGTATTATGTTAATAGATTAATACCCATAGGGAGGCATTATTGTATTGCTATAAATCTCAGTGATTTGTACCCAGTTATATTACCCAGTAATATTAACCAATCGATAACTGGTTGCTTTAAACACTGAATTATTTATTAACCCAAATTTAATAGCCCTTTCTACATTGCCACCATTTCCTATGAATTAGTCAGTTAATGCAATCAAGGAGCTGAGTACATTGATTTTCTTTTGAATTTACTTGAACAGTAGGGTCTCAGAAATTACTTAGTAAATATTTGTAAGCAAACATTTGTAAACAAATGTGTAAACAAATATCTGTAAACACGGTCTTTATCTCCAACTGAGGAGAAAACGGTGATACTAAAATTATCATGCTCCTTTTTTAGCATTCACAATAGTTCATCTAAGAGTATCTAAATCATTAAAAGTCACCTCACTTATAAGATGATCCTGGAATTTAAATGATAATAACCATGGTAGTTACACTGGAGAGTGCAGTCTTGGTGAATTAAGGAGTTTTATATTCCTATGAGGGTCGTCAATGTTACTCTGCGGCCTCTCCACAGGCCACTCCCCCCATGTCTTGTGAAAATGTTTGTCTCAATGGCAAAAAGAATCAGGCTAGAGTGTGAAAAGCATCTGCTCACTTCTCACATGATGAAAAAACTGGGACACAAGTGGCTCAGTAATTTACTGACATTTCACTTTCAGAATATCCTATGTAATACAATAATAGTAGCTAGAAGTTTTTGAGCCTCTATTATGTGCTAGGCACTCTGTTAGATACATTATAAACTATATCATTAAAATCTATCCTGCAAAAGAAGAATTATCTTCCTTTTTGAAAATAGGCATATGTTATAAAAAGAGAAAATTAGAGGTCACAGAGACAGAAGGGTGTGATACAGTGATAAAGGCAGGTCGAAAGTAAGTTCCTATGGTTCAGCCTCCAGAAGCCAAGCATATCAAGAGCTGAGTCAAAAAAACCCATCAGGGCATTGAATCTGCTTCTGGTCAGTTAGGAACGAGTGGTCGTGGGCACCAAGTCTCAGCAGGACCCCTGTGGTTCTGTTGTGCCTGCTATAGGTTGTTGAGGACAGAGAAAACCCTGTGCCTCTGGGCAGGAGGAAGTGAATGGAAAAGACTCCTGGCCCCTCGTCCTTGCCCCTGGCTCAGCTAAGCTAAGGATGCTGATAAGTGTTGTCTAAACTGTTATTATCTAAAACATCCAAGTTACCCAGAGTCTCCAGAGTGGTAGCTACACAAGGAGGCTGGAGCTAAGAACAATAGAGGTTTAGCAAAATTAAGTAATTTACTTAAGGTTGAACAGCTAATAAGTAAGAGAGTCAAGATTCCAGCCCAGGTCAGTCTTACTGCAGGTCATACTTTCCCACTATACCAAAAGAGGTGTGGAATTAATATCCAGCAACATTTTATTAATTTGTGCTAAGTAAATCCAAATAACTGAGAAAATCCCAATTATATGTTTAATAACAAAATAAGCTCAGTCATATGTCTGTGAAAACATGTCTATGAAAATTCCTCAGAGAACTTGCTTTAACAAATAGTCAAAAAAGGTTTGTCAATCAAAACCTTGCACAGAGATGCAATTCTTGAATACTAATAAAGCCTTGAGAATTCTTCAGACTCAATTGGTTTAGCGATTGTTCCTGAACATCCTTTGTAAGCCAATCCCTTTCATAAGGGAGAAGTAGAAGTAAATTTCAATTTGGTCCCTGTCACAGGGATTGCAAACCCAAATGTCTCCAGGGGCCAAGCTGCTAACCTAAATAAGTCTTTCAGTAAGGATAACTGAGAAGATTGGCTGGGTGTAAGATAACAGATGAAGAAAGGCTTGAACAGCATTTGAGAATAATGCTTGGTTCCATGACCTTTTGAAAAGTAGGGGTGGCAGCAGGGGTGGTGGAGTGGAGCTACATACCAAAACCAAACAGTCTCTAGGACTGATGGGTCACCAATCACAGCCCTGACACAATCATCAAATACTTAGAGCTAATAAAGTCCAAATTAATAAGAATTTTTTTGTTTTTGCTTTTGTTTTGTTTAAAAAACAACTTAAGGGTCCATATAATGTTTTGTCACACAAAACATTCTCAGACTGATATTCAGTTCAATTCATAAGACTGATATATTAATATAAGTATAAAACTCTGACACATATGCCTAAGAACTTGGCAACATAACTGCCTAAAAGTGCAACAAAAGCTATAACTATCACACCAGTGATATTTACAGACAAACTGGTGAGATGGTGGCACGTAATTCCTAACTTCAGATGGAGGAACCTAGAAAAATAAAATTAACTCGCTGTGAGGCTCGCTGTGCACATCAAAAACACGGAGGGAAACTGAAATAAGAAGTTCCCAATTTCCAATCTTGATCATTTCACATTTATTTTTCATTTAAAGGGTGAGCATTTCTTTTGTATTTTTAAGCCTGGAATCAAGTTTGCCAATTAAACCATCGCAAGGACCAAAGAGAAGGAGGTGATCTTGGTCATCACCTGAAACACCGGTGACTGTTTTTTCATCACGGGAGCGAAAAAGTCTCATTCGGGCAAGAGAAAGAGAGTGACTGTATTGGTCCTCAGATTCCAAATAACCTTTAGTTATTTCTACATAAATATCCAGCTTGACAAAATTCTCTAAGTTATAGTTGAATTGTTCATTCATTCAACAAAGACTACTCAAGTCCTTATTAGGCATAGTGGAAGGTACTGAGGATACAGTGGTGAACCAATAGATGTGTTCTATTCCCTCATGGATTTTACAGTCTAGTGGGGGAGATGGATGGATGAAGAAGACAAATAGATATGTAATTATTAGTTTTAGTAAGTGTGACAAAGGGAAGAATAGGGAAGATGGAGAAAGAATAACAAGGCGATGTGATTTAGTGTGGGAGTGGGGAGGAGAGTGGGGAGGTCAGGGGAGGCTGAGTGGAGCTGAGATCTGAAGGATGAATGAGTCCGGTGAAGAAGGGTGGGAATCCTGTTGGAGGCAGAGGAAACAAGCATACAAAATCTTGATGTGGGAAAGGACTCAGCAGTTCCCAAGACTGGCAGGTCTGGCTGGAGCTACAAGGATTCTGAGGAGGATGGTGGGAGATGAGGACGGACAGACAGGCAAGAGTGGATGACTCAGGGTCTTGAAGGCAATGGTAACAAGTTTGGATTCTGGTACAGATGCAATGGGAAGCCATCAGAGGACTACGAGCGAGGATAACCTGATTTACGTCAAAAAAGGTCATCTGGTTATTGTGTGTAGGAGTGGGGCAAGACTGGATGCGGGGAGGGAAGGAGGAAAGCAGTTGCTGTGGTCCAGAGAAATGACAGTCATCATTTGGATAGAAGAAGTGATGATAACAGGGAAAAAGTGGCCATTTTAGAGAGAGAATTTTGGATGGAATATCAGGACTTATTGATGGAAAAAACTGTCAAGAATGACTTTTTTGTCTCATCCATTGTCAATAATTAACTTGTAGAGTGGATCATTTTTTAGTAGCATGTATATATGTGTGTGTTGTGTGAATGTGCATGTGCGTATATATATATATATATATATATATATGATAAAGACATCAAATTCAGATTTAATAGGAAATGTGAAGAAGTGTATTTATGTAAACAAATTCACATAAGCTTCTTTGATGCCATACATGTAAAGTTCCATCAAAACAATCATCATTACAGTACAATGAAATTACATGTTTAACAAAGAGATTTTCAAGCTTATATGAAGAGTAGCTCACAGTTCAGATATCATTTGATTTTAGAAGATGGTAATACAACAAATGGACTTTATTCTTTTTATTGGGCTCATTTTCCACCATCCTCATCCATTGTCTACCAGTGATAAGCAAAACAGACAATGACTAAATTGTCACTAATGCAGATTTCATTACTCTAAATGTCTCTTTAGCCACTTGAGATAGATGGCCATTAAAATACATATATGCACACACACACAATCACCCACCAACAATTTTTACAGCTGGTAAAAGTTCTGGGATTGAATCTATAAACATATCTGAGTAGCGGTAATTTCAGTACAGTGTATCTCTCTCGCTAAAGTACATCCCTCATCTAAGAATAAGGTGCTAAGCCACACACATCTCTAAAAAATTTGTGCAAAATATATTTACCAGCAGAGAAGTTGGGGATTTGGCAGGACGTGTTCTAACCTGCTGAAATTTGTCACCCGAAAAGTCAGGGCAGCTGGCGATGGGTTGTTGGCAAAGTGTCTGGTGATGCCGGCAGGAAAGGACAACACCATTTCTCCAGTAATCTTCACGATACATCTGGCATATCACAACACGTGAGAGGAAAGAGAGGAAACCTAGGTCAACATGTGAATCAAAGCAGTTGTGAAAAGCAAAGATTTCTGTAACAATATGATACAGCAGAAGAGAGGAAAAGTAAGCTCTTACAATATCTAAAGAACTGAGGACTCAAAGGTTTATTTTAACACGTCTCCAAAAAAGGTGGCTATTTTGTTGAAGGTGTTTTTGTACCGTTAGAAGAAAAGTGCAGCTTTTTTCTTTCTGTAGAAAAGTCTGTATGTTCACCTCACAAACAGAATCATTTATTCTGGTGATTCTCTCTCATTGACTGCTGAATTGATGGCAGCATATTTGACGATACTAAATTGCACAATGTTATCACACTATTCACTGGGACTTATTTTAGTTCTCTGAGTAATGTGATTGATGCCTTGAGTGTGTTCTTTTATGGACACATGGGGTAAACTTCCTGCTTCCCACTTAATTAGATCTTTATTCCATTAACTTGTCTATCTGGTTGAAATGATAAAATCAGTCATATATATAAGTTAACACAGTTGGATGATAATTTGGAAGGAATAATAATCCTTTCTAAAAAAGGGCTTTATTGAAGTATAGTCGATATATAATAACTGGTGCTTATTTATAGTGTAAATTTCCATCATTTTTGACATAATCTACACCTATGAAACCATCACACAATCAAGATAATCAAGATATCCAACGTCCCTAAGAGTCTCCCCCTGTGTTTTTGTTTTCCTCTCTCCTGCCCTTCTCCATCCTTTCCCTCTATGTCCCTTGGTAATTACTAATATATTTTCTGACATTACATATTAGTTTGGACTTTCTAAAATTTTAGATAAACAGAATTGTAAGGTGTGTGATTTTTTTTTTTTGGTCTGATTTTTTCCACTCAGCATAATTATTTTGAGATTCATCCATGTAGTGTATGAATCAATAGCTCATGTCTTTTTATTGCTGGGTGGAATATGGATATACCACAGGTTCGTCTTGAAAATTCATTCACTTGTTGAAGAACATTTGGATTCTTTCTGTCTTTTGCCTATTACAAATAAAGCTGTGATAAATATGCGTGTACAAGCCTGTGTATGGGCACATGCTCTTATTTCTCTTGGAGAAATATATGACTGGATCACATGATAGGTGTACCTTTAACTTTTTAAGAAACTGCCAAACTCTTTTGTGAAGTGGAAAATACAGCTGAGTGTGAGAGTTTCAGTTCCTCTCCATCCTCACCAACATTTGGTAGGATCTGTCTTTTGATTTGTCATTCTCATAGGTGAGTAACAGTATCTTATTGGTTTTTTTGTTTGTTTGTTTGTTGTTGTTTTTTTTGCGGTACGCGGGCCTCTCACTGCTGTGGCCTCTCCCGTTGCGGAGCACAGGCTCCGGACGCGCAGGCTCAGCGGCCATGGCTCACGGGCCCAGCCGCTCCGCGGCATGTGGGATCTTCCCGGACCGGGGCACGACCCCGCGTCCCCTGCATCGGCAGGCGGACTCTCAACCACTGCGCCACCAGGGAAGCCCTCATTGTTGTTTTAGTCTGCATTTCCCTAATGGCTAAGGGTCTTAGCACCTTTTCACGTGCTTATTTGTCATCAGTTATTTACTCAGGTGAAGTGTCTGCTCAGATTTTCTGCCAGTTTTTAAAACTGAGTTTTCTGTTCTCTTATTAATTTGGTTTGTTTTTTTTTTTGGTACATTCTGGATGTAAGTAATTTATCAAATACATGCTTTGCAAAGATTTTTTTCTCCCCAGTCGGTGGCTTGTTTTTTTTTTCTTTCTCTTAAGAGTAATTTGAAGGGCAGAAATTTTAAATTCATCAATTTATTCTTTTATGGGTTGTAGCTAACACTTTATTCTTTTGGAGTCTTATCTGAGAAATCTTTGCTAAATCCAAGGTCACAAACATTCCACCTATGTTTTATTCTAGAAATTTTTAATTTTTAGTTTTACATTTAGCTTTATGATCTATTTTTGGTTAATTTCTGTATATTTTCTGTGCGGTATGCGTCCAAGTTCATTTTTTAGTGTGTGGATATGGGTATCTAATTGTTCTATCACCATCTGTTGAATTTATCCACTTGGTAATTTTGTTGAAATTCAGTTGTCCATATATGTGTGGGCCTATTTCTAAATTCTCTATTCTGTTCCATTGATCTATTTTGTCCGTCTTTACACCAATCCCACACTGTCTTGATTGCTGTAGCTTTAAAGTTATTCTGAGATCAAGTAGTATTAGTCTACCAACTTTGTTCTCTTTCAAAATAGTTTTGGCTATTTTAAGTTCTTTGTATTTCCACATGAAACTTAGGATCACTGTGTCAATTTCTCCGTAAAATCAGTGGAGTTCCAATTCACCCTTTACTGTCTGCTCTGAGAGAATTAGCATTGGGCCATTAATATATTTTTTCTTTGCCAACGTAACAGGCACTATCTTACTTTTTGTCAGTAGGGGGCACTAGAAAGACATTGCAGGAAGAAGAGACCTTTTTCCCCTTCCTGGTTCCAGTGCGCTTGCTAGGCAGTCCTCTGCAGTACTCAAGGCTTTTCTAGAGCTAGGCTCCTGCAGTGCAGGAGGCACGTGGCACCCAAGAGTGTGGGTACTGCAACCCGTGTGGCTTTGCTAGTGCCCAGTAACTGGCAGCTTCCGCAGCCTCTGGCTCCTGAGGTACGTGTGGCTGGGCTGTCCCAGTGCCCAGCTCTTTTAATGCAGATGGGGTCCCTGGCTCCAGGCTCCTATCATATGCACACCTTCTCCATAGCCAGCTTCTGCAGTGCATGGTGGTCTGAGGTACCCACAGGCCATTAGCTTCCTCGGGCACCCTCCTCAGCCAGTTTTGCAGTGGAGTGTGTCTCAGTGAGACACCTCCCATGAACGCCTGTGAGTCTGCTGGGCTCTCCCTATGCCATGGCCTGGAAACTCTCCAGGAAGTCAGTTGGGTCAATCATAATCTCACCTCTCAGGGGTCACTGTCCTTCACCTGAGGTCCTGTGTCTTGCAAACCATTGTTTCATATATTTTGTCTGTTTCTGCAGTGTTTTCAAGTAGAAGGGTAAATTGGTCCCTGTTAATCCACCTTAACCAGGAGCAGAAATCTCAAAAAGATTTTTCTTCTTTGGGAAATGCTAAATATTTAAAATGAGTGAACTTCTTTATAACTTTCCTATACATCTGGATAATTGACCCTTGTACCATTTCTGCAACTTTAAGTTCAGGAGTGTACTTTCTAGGGAAATTGAGGTTAATAAATGAAAATTTCGCTCGCACTTGAATACAGGAAACTCTATTTGCCCCATAGTCACCTTGTATGCTGTGTAATTGTGATTGATGAGGCACAGTGGCTCAGATGAGATGGTCCTTGGCCATTCAAAACAGCTTGTGTGAAGAACTGCTATAGCCTTGTATGTGTAAGGCTGGGTTTGGGGTAGAGGTGGAGGGCAGGTGAGCTTCCTAAAGTTGCCATGTGCCCCTCCTCCCACTCAGATAATATCATCCCTAACTCTGAACTGCTCTGAATGAGAATTCTGGTTTCTGGAAGTTTGCCCCTCCATCCCTGCTGCAGAATATTGCTGATCTCTCAGTTTGGTGCCAACTCTTCTTCCTTCTCTATCTTTCAGACCCATAAGGCTTGCTTGATTTACTGGTGATGAATTGGTGCTAAGCCTGGCCTTCCCCTTAAGCTGAGTCTACTCTTTATGTTTTTCAACATGTGGGCAAGAAAAATTTTATTTGATGACTCTAGAAGAAAATAATAACTACTCAGAGCACTTGTTAAACTAGACTTCAGCACCTACCATCACTCAGTCCACTGTTAGCAGTGGTTGCTCAAATGTTTTTTTAATTGCTAAGGAATCTGCTCAGTTTCTTTTCCAGGTTGCTCAAAATGAGCTCTAAGTGGTGTCTTGGTGGAGGATAAAGTTTCTCTTTTGAAAGAAAGTCAGCAAGGGGAGGAGGTGGAATTTATTAAGTCAATAAACATTTATGGACGCCTAACTATGTAAGCTGGGGTTGTTTGTTTTTGTTGTGAGTGGGGAGGCAATTAAAAAATGAGCAAAAGACATATATACACTAATATGTATAAAATAGATAACTAATAAGAACCTACTGTATAAAAAATAAATAAAATAAAATTCAAAAAAAATGAGCAAAAGAGCCCCTGCCTTCAAAGGGCTTACAGTGTCAGATGGACTATGAGAGAAGTAGTCAGTATAAGCCAATAGATGAAGCACCCAGGCTCGTCAGTTACATTACATTTCTTTCTCTTTTTTTTTTTTTTGCGGTATGCGGGCCTCTCACTGTTGTGGCCTCTCCCATTGCGGAGCACAGGCTCCGGACGCGCAGGCTCAGCGGTCATGGCTCACGAGCCCAGCCGCTCCACATTCCCGGACTGGGGCACGAACCCGTGTCCCCTGCATCGGCAGGCGGACTCCCAACCGCTGCGCCACCAGGGAAGCCCTACATTACATTTCTGAACTGCATCTCAATTGTCAGAGTCAGACCTTTGGTGATTTATTAATCCATCCAGTGTCTAAGTCGATCGAAAATTTTTTATATAAAAATTAATATTTTCAACCTATGCTCACTCACTAAAGGAAAGTCTTTGTTCAACAGTAATGATTGTTCCTATCAGTGTGTGATGTGGCTACATTTCATGTGAGTTTAAATCATGGAAATCTGAAATACTGCTATATGGAAATATTGACATAGGTACTTTATGAAGTAAATTTAAAACCATATGAATCCCCATATGAAACATCTGTCTAGAATGGCAAGATTTCCAGGTCAACTGGCCTAGAGCCTTGTAAACTGGGTTCTCCCTGTTACCACAGGCAGCATCATGTTAGCTGGTCAACAGAAACACTGGCCAATTTTGGTCACGAAATGTGTGGATTTGATTTATGTGAGGTCATCAGAAATACATCCCTCTCATAAAGTGTAAGTTTTACTGCTTTGATAACTAAGCTCATGGTTTTCTGTTCAAGCATACACACTTCTGCACATAGGCTGCTTCCCTTCCTTTATTTATCATCCCCTTTTATTGACTTGGGTACCAGGCAAAAATTCCTTTTCATATTCAAGACTCAGTTCAAAGGCAGGCCTTTCCAAGGTCTTCCTTAATATCTTCTCCATTCAGCCTTCTTTAGTTTTTCCTTTCTTTAGTTTCCTTGGACAAATGGACAGATTTTTTTTTTTTTTTTTGCATTACGCGGGCCCCTCACTGTTGTGGCCTCTCCCGCTGCGGAGCACAGGCTCCAGACGCACAGGCTCAGTGGCCATGGGTCTCGGGCCCAGCCGCTCCGTGGCATGTGGGATCCTCCCAGACCAGGGCACAAACCCGCGTCCCCTGCATCGGCAGGCAGACTCTCAACCACTGAGCCACCAGGGAAGCCCAAGGACAGATTAAAAAAAAACTGCTTTGTAGTTTCTTGCACATATTTACTACTGTGAAGGCAAGTACTGTGTCTTAGGTTCTGGGAAGGCAAAGGTATAAAACACAGAACCCAGTGCAGAGTAGGAACTCAATAAAGTATTTTAAAAATAAATTCATACATTTAACAATTATATATTGGCTGCCTAATCAATGTACCAGGCATTGTGTAATGCACTAGAATGGGCAGTGAGAAACAGGACAAATGTGGTCTTGAGCAAACTTCTAGTTTAAGCAGGGAGATATACACTTGAATAACTAATTGAAATATGGTGATAAGGGAAGGATAGACTATAACTGAGAAGCCTAAGGTTTTCTTGGGAATTAGAGAATTAGTTCCTAGCACAAGAGTTGTTCAAATAGGAGCTAATTACGGGAAATATGTTTCCCCCAGGTGGCAGCAAAGTCAAGGAGTTCTCTGCCTTTGAGCTACTGAGAAAGACTCAGATGCCAGAATACCAGTAGTAGATTTTTGTTTCCAGTGTATGGTCTGAAAACAAATGGGGAAGTCTTTGATACAGGATGAGAGAGAACCACAGGCAAAGCAAAGCCACGTGCGTTTTCTGCATCATTTCTCTATGTGGCGCTGTGTTTGGCTTTATCCTCCTCCCCACCTCTCCCCATGATGGAACTTTTGAACTTGAGTTGTTTCTTTGAAAGTGAATAACAAAGGAACAGCAATTAAAGTCATTCGCTGCTTGGAGATGACATTAAATTTAGAAGAATGTCACTTCATGATCTGTTCATAAATTTCAGATCTCATAATTTCAATGAAATATACTAAATCTCCCATCTACCAATATACAGTATACACTACAGCTACTTATGGCAATATAATTGAAAAAAGACTCAATACGTGCAGTCATCCACAGATCAAAGGCTCAGTTAATTTGGAAGGGCATAGGAAAAGCACTAATATTAATTTGGCTCAAGTACCACATCACTGGAATGCTAAAGTCATGGACACCAGGCTGACTGGTACAGACCTCCGCAGACACTTGTCAGAGTGTGCTGGGGAAATGGAAGCAAGATGAAGAACCCAGCTTGTATAGGGACAGGTTCGCAGGTGACTGGTAGGGTCTTTAAATCCCAAGACCACTTCTTGGGATTTTAGAAGGATTATTATTCAGGACTTCTTAACTCCCATTGCCCCATATCTACACCTGTTCTATAGTGGACTTTGCATTATATTTATGTACAAGTTTTATTTTCCATATCAATTGTCTTCACCACCAATATATCCCTGTCTAGCACAATGGCAGCCACATAATAGACATTCTGTAAATGTTAGCTGAGTAATTCAACTCAACTTGTTCAGCAAATATGCACTGGGTGCTCCATGCCAGGTCCTGTTTTAGGTACTGAGGATATAACAATGAACAAAATACTTAAAGTCCCAGCTCTCATGAAGCTTACACTCTAGTGGGGGAAGGGACAGACAGTGGACACTGAAAACATGGAACATGTTAATTAGCATGTTCATAAACTAGAAAACAGGAAGTATGTTAACTACGAAGGAAGAGAAAGTGAAGTAGGGAGAAAGGAAATGTTGACAGCGGAGAGGGCAGGAGAATTGCTATTTTACATAGAAGGTCTCTGATAAATCTGCTGAAGAATCATGAAGGAAGTGAGGGGGCAGGTCACTCAGATAGTTGCGAGAAGATTTCACTAAGGCGGAAGGAGCAACAAATGCAAAGACCCTGAGGTGCGGGTGGGGTTGGGCTGATGAAAGAAAAACAGCCATGAAGCCAGAGTGGCTAGAGGGGAATGATTAAGGACGAGGGTGACGGAGGCAAGATCAGAGAGGTGGCAACTGGGATGGGTCGTGAAGGACAAATCTTATAGACCATTATGAAGCATTTGGCTTTAACTTTGAACAAGTTAGGAAGATTTTGAGCTGAGGAGTGACATGTTACATTGAAAATAGATTTCAGGGGGGACCAGAAGTGGAAGTACCCCTACTACCAATTGGATCTCTCTGAATAAATGACTGAATGAAAGCCAATTAGTAAGCAGACAAAAAAGCATTCATTCTCGTGTGATCCTTAGTGTTTTCCACTCCATTATAGACACCTCTCCACATTTTCAACTACTCATTTTTTTTAGGGTGTGTTTCTACCTGCAATTCAGGGAAGCCTGAGCTTTCTAAGGTCCAGGTCAGTCAGTAATAAGTAGTCTTTAGAACTGGTGTGACAGAAAGTCATGCAAATTCTTTACTCAAAGAAGGGTCTACAGAAGAAACATGTATGTATGTATACAAAGTCTGTATACAACCTAAGCTAATGATGCTTACTTTTCTCTAACAGTTCAAATGCATATTCTGTATGAGGAGCTTTTAGTTGCTGTTGATGCATGGTCATGGCAAGTGATCTTTCTGCTCTGAAGATGAAAAAGAAGAGACGTGGGAGAAACCAGACCGCTATAGCCTGAATGCTTGTGTTCTCCCAAAATTTATATATTTAAACCTAATCCCTGATGTGATGATATTTGGGATGTGATTAGGTTATGAGGATAGGGCGCTCAAGAATGAGATTAGTGCCTTTATAAAAGAGACCCACAAAGTTCCTTAGCTCTTTCCAGTATGTAAGATTCCGATGAACCAGGAAGCTGGCTCTCATCAGATACCGAATCTGCCGGGGCCTTGGTTTTGGACTTTCCAGCCTCCAGAATTTTGAGAAATAAATTTCTATTATTTATAAGCCACCTAGTCTGTTACAGCAGAGCAAATGAACCAAGACACCAGCATCCACAGTATTTGTTTCTCTGCAAAACCCTGGGCCCAGAATAAAACCTAAATGCTGTTTAAAAGGATATTTAGGGAGACTGATAGATCTCAGTGGCTAGAACGGAGTGCAGTTACTAATTATATTAGTTTTCCAGCATAATGTTGTTAGATTTAAACTTAAAAAAAAAAAGCTAGTGTTTCTGAAGTGTAAAGAGGGTTAACAATTAGTCATATAGATTTTCACTTAAAATAGAGTTCCAAGTTCTAATTATACTTATCACTATTTCAAAAATTTTTATAAAACCGTCTAGTGTTCTATATGCACATTTAATTTTTTCTCTCATCTTTATTTCCATGGCTACCAAGGTTTTCTAAGCTCTAGTCCCTGCAAGTAAAAAATAAAAAGCAATTCTTTCCTCACCTAGGTTTGTCCTTTGTTTATACATCAGATTCAGACCTGGAATTGTATTAGTGACACACTTGAAAACCAGTTTGACTTAGGTGTTTAGTTTTCAGTGTAGACTAATAATCGCCCTTAACTTTTTTTTTTGAATCTGAACCCCTTTGTGAAATTGATGAACACTGTAGAGTGTCTATGGACAAATGTGCATGTGCACACACACATTAGATATGAAATATAATTTCAGGGGATACATAGACTTCCTGAACCCCATCCATGGGACACCTTATAGAGAAGCATGTACATTCAGGTAAAGCCCATTGTCAAGCTGTACTGATATAAGTATAATCAGGCTCATGTAAATAGAGAGTGGTACATTTTTACCTAAAATTTTTACTTTGCTGTGATTATTTTTTTTGGCTAGTTTTTCCTTACTTAACAAGGGTAACACATAACTTGTCCTCTTACATATCTGCATGTTATGGGAAGGTGGTTTTATTCCAGGTTCTCCAATGCACCATTGTTTCAGTTTATATGTGGGTGGCTCCCACCCAGGAAAGACTAAGACAATAAAGACATGATCTAGACATTTCCTTTTGTGAGATAATACATTTTCTCATTGCTGATGGAGTTGGTTGGGTTTTCTGTAACCTGCAACCAAAACTGAATCAGAGATTTCTGTATTAGATTAGATTAGTGGACCTTTTGGCATATTTTTTAAAAAAGCAGTGAATTAATATTCCTAATCAAATTAATTCTAGGTATGCCACCTGTTACCGTTGACTGGATTTTTTTGTTTGTTTTGTTTTAGGATATGGAATGAAATAACTATACGTAAGGTGTCCCCACTGAATTGGATAGAGTTTGGGGAATACAATGGACCAAGTCCCAGGCTTACTTGCTCGGATCTGCTCCTTTGAAGTAGGCATTGACCGTTTCTGTAAATGCTGCTGCAACAGGGAGGGTGTCCTGGGCTCCCATGGTTAGGGGGCTGGGTCCCCTGGAAGAACCTGCATGAAATGAAAAATCTTCATTTAATATGGATCGGAGCCATCTTAGTATATGTGGAACTAAAAGCCCATTAAAGGATTAGAGGATGAAATCTAATTACTGAAAAAAAAAAAAAGCCATGTGCTAAGAGCCATAACTGTATATTCAACATAGAGCTCAAGTATTTAAAAGGAAATATTTGGCTGGTTTACAGACAAACACACTCGAAATTAATGCAACGATGTATTTTACTACAGAAAAAAATCCAAGCAGAAGAATAAAGTCATGGGGGGTTTCAATGTTTTACATAAAGCATAAGGCAGTGTTTGCATGACAGTTTGTACAGCAGGTAGTTAGTAAGAAAATTATTAGCTTCCTATTTGAGCCTTCACCTTATACAATTGCCCACACACTCAAAACTGTTTGCATTTCTTCATTTTAAAGAGACAAACAGCCATGGAGCACCATGTTACACATTGTCCTTCTCTGGGGTGTTTCCATTTCAAAAAGTCCAATTACCCTCAGATCAAGTAGGCTCAAGTGTACATGTCCCCAGACATACACAACCCAAACGTCCACCTTGACTTAGCACAAATACATCAATGCATCAATTCACATTATTAAAAGTAACAGTTCACTGACCATCTACTACATACCAGGCACTATACTGGATACCTGACAAGAATTATCACATTCTAGCCCCACATCAGCCCTGTGGGATAGACATTATTATCCCCATTTTACAGAAAGAAAACTGAAGCTCAAAGAGCTAAGTGACTTGCCCAAGATACAGTTAGTTAAGTGGCAAAACTAAAATTCAAACCTAGGTTTGCCAGCCTATAAGGCTCATGGTTTTCCCTATACTGTTTATACCATATTGTTTGTCTAAATGAAACATTTTCCTGTATGTTTTTGATACAACTTGAGGTTTCCAAAAGGAGTGAAGTTTAGGATTGTTGTCTTCATTAATAATCTTTAGACCTGGTACTGAAGAGTCAAGTTTTATAAGGACAAAGTATTTAATTATGTCACACATTCACTGCTTCTCCTTCTTATCACACAAAACACATTTACTCTTCTCCACCTCATCACAGACTACGTGTTATGCTTTTTATCTTTTACCTTTAGTAACTCTCATACTCCTCTCTGATTATGAAAAGATCTACCTTTGTATATGTCCCTCCTCAATAAAGCTTTCCTTGATAATTCTAGTTCATCCTAGTGTCTACATTTTCTATCTTCCCTTGTCTTTCAATATCTTGGATGTAGTAATGGATCACCAACAAACATTGGCTTATTATCTGCTATGTATCAGGCATTATGGTAGGTGCTGGGGATTCAGAGATAATTAAACATAATCCTTGTCCTCAAGAAATAGGTTTTTGTTGTTTACGAGCCACGCCTCGAGTGGTATTTTGTTACAGCAGTCAGAATGGACTGAGGCACGCAGTCTGGCCCAGGTCTATCCTTCCTCACCTCTTCCCTCTCTTTCCAACAACGCTATACCCTAGCTGTGTTCACCTCTGAGCACTACAGTCCTTACTGTGGGTTTAATCAATAATGCCAGAGAAGGAAAGAACATCAAGATTTTACAAAGAACCCTTTTACCTTAAGGATCCACAGTTTACAATTCTAATTTCTTCACATCCCTATACATTGCAATTAATATGCCATCTTCTATTTCACTTTTTTCATTTATTACACAATTTTCCTTATTGCTATCTGGTCTACATATCATTTCCATGAGTATATATTATTCTACAAAAATTCTCCAAATATTGGGTCATTTCTAGGTAGAAATTATTCTAAATCCATCTTTGTATAAATTGGTCTTTTTCTTTTAATTATTTTTTTAAGATATAGTTTTATTACTACAAAGTGGGATGACCCAACCATAAGGCAGATAAATTTTTGATTGCTAAGAATGCCGGATTATTTTATCTTATTTTTAAAAATAAATTTATTTTATTTATTTATTTATTTTTGGCTGTGTTGGGTCTTCGTTGTTGCACGTGGGCTTTCTCTAGTTGCGGTGAGCAGGGCTATTTCTTTGTTGCGGTGCGTGGGCTTCTCATTGCAGTGGCTTCTCTTGTTGCGGAGCACGGGCTCTAGAGCGCAGGCTCAGTAGTTGTGGCACATGGGCTTAGTTGCTCCGTGGCATGTGGGATCTTCCTGGACCAGGGATCGAACCTGTGTCCCCTGCCTTGGCAGGCAGACTCTTAACCACCACGCCACCAGGGAAGTCCCCCAGATTATTTTACATAAAGATTACACTCAGTGAAAATGCTATTAGTAATAAATGAATGCTTCTGTTCCCCTGCAGTACCTTAGAGAGTCTTTGTTACTATGATTATTGGAAAACTGGGCTAAAACCAGGAGAGTGTCTAAGATGCTGAGAAATTCAAACCTTATGGCCTAAGGTGACTAAGAGGGGCCTCAAAACTATTTTCAAATATCTGAAATAATATTACCAGACAGTGACTCTAGGGACCAGAATTCATGGCCATGGATCTGCAAGTTAATAGCTTTGTGACCTCGGGCAAATGAATTATCTTTAGGCTTTCTCAACCATAAAATGAAGGCAATAGATCACATCATCCCTGTGTGTTAGGATTCTATAGTTTTAAGTTGTTTATAGGAATTTAAGGAGTTTTAAACAGTAGGAACAATTTTCTCACACAGAAATAAGCTGCTTTGAAAACCGTATCCCTTCACTGGTGGTTTTAGTGAACCTGCCAAATATTTACTGGGTCTCTACTATGTGTAAGATAGTGGTGGGAACGCAGATATGTAAACTTTCAGGAAATAAGATACAAGTGTATAGGAAACCCAGTAACAATATCATATACAAACAAGAGCTTAAGACAATAGCTCAAGTGACAGCACTATGAGGTTTTTTCACTACAAGATTAATTGTCCAATGAGCAGAACAGGAAATTCTGCTCCTTGATTTAATAAAAAGAAGCCCAGACTCTGGTGTCACATAGACTTGTGTGTGAATCCCAACGCCTCCACTTACAATCTGCTGTGACCAGGAGCAAGCTATTTAATCTGTCTGTGACTCAGTTTCATCTTTAAAATAAAATATCAATAATATCTATGTTAAAGGTTTGTGGTGGACATCAAATGGGATATCCTTAGCGTGGTATATACTTGAAAAAACATCTTCTCGTTTTTGTTGCTGTTATTTTGTCAGGGTGAGTTTTACTAAGGTTGTTGAATTAGAGTTGGTTCTTTGAATTTGAATAGTTATTGAGGTAGAGAATGAAGGGAGGTACCACAAATGGTACTCCTCACTGAGCAAGGAGATAGACCAACATTTTCAGGTTCCTTCCAACTCCAAATTTCTTTTATCATAAGAGCAATGAATTCTATCGTGCATGTTTAATTTTTTGTGTATTACGTGGGTGGCTCTCATATCTATTCAAGTTGCCTGATAGAATGCTTGGACTCATAGGAGATGAAAGTTGGTTGAATGCATATTTGTCTGTTGATTCATTCGAATGTGAGTTCCTGCAATAAGTAGGCATTGTGCTAGTTGCTGAGGGATTCACAGAAATGTATGAGATGTACCCCTCCCTTCATGGAGCTTATAGTATAAAAGGGGACTATAATATTAAATACAAATGAAAGACAAAGCACTACATGAAGGTAGATAATATTGATAGTTAAGTATTATAATTATTATATTATTATTAATGATTATTTTTAAAGAATTCAATGTCGAAATAGTAATTATTATGTCTGTCCTACAATAAAATAAAATATCAAACACTAATATGGCTTTTTGTTCTTTATACATTGAGGGGATAAACAGGTTCAGTATAATTATCTCTATTGCACTAGCCCAAGTTCACTCCGCTAGTAAGTGGTAAAGATGAAATTCAATCCTAGGTCTCCTAGTGCTAACAAAAAGAGTAGTAGCAACAACGAAAACTTTGTACCTCTTATCGCATACTAAGGACTATTCCTGTATTACCTCTTAATCCTGATAATACCCCTATTAGGGAACTACCATTGTTATCCCTGTTTTCCAGAGGAGAAAACTGAGGTTACAAATCATTCAGTAGCCTTGCCCACAGTCACCCAGTTAGTAAGCAGTAAGCACAGCATTGGGATGCAAACCTAGTACTTCCTGACTCTGGATCCTGAACTCTTACCTACACTGCTCATGGAACATGTAAGTCAGAACAAAATTATGTTAGACATCTGAGGGTGCATATGTGGGCCCCCAAGGAGGACAAGTTGCTGCCATTACCTTGTCGAGTTCTGACAAAATAGCAATTCCAGGGTCCTGGAAAGCAATTGCCATGCACACTTAGGGAGTTCTGAGAAATGGAAAAAGGCACACAGAGTCACCATCATGTGATGAAATTTTCTGAAAGGCAGTTTTCTGTGACTCTCATTACCAAGCAAGGTTATACACACACACACACACACACACACACACACACACACACACACACTAAGGCTAAAGAAAAATTAGTATGACATCTTTAAAAGAAGAGGTCATCCTACTATATAGCACAGGGAACTATACTCAATATTTTGTAATAACCTATAAGGGAAAAGAGTCTGAGAAAGAATATATATACATATATATATATATATATATATATATAAAACTGAATCACTGTGCTGTACACCTGAAATGAACACAGCATTGTAAATCAACTAAAAGAAATCAATAAAAAAAAGAAAAAGATAAGGTTGTTAATTTGTGAAAGCATTTCCTGAGTAGTCAACTGAAATATGAATGTGAGTATGGAGTAGGGGCTGTATATGTAAAAATATGAAAGGAGAAAGGGAAAAGGGAGAGCGATTTTAGAAGAGAAAGGGAAAGATACAAATAAAAAAAGAGGGAGAAAAGGAAGCGAAATACCCAGGTACAGAACTTGAGTAAGAGTACAAGGTTTACTTCATAAATAAATGGCTGTTCGAGTCCCGGGTTCCACAGAGACGCCTGGTACTACACCACTGACAGTCTTTTGTGTGGAGGGGAAGTGTGTCCTCACGGTGT